TAGGAAGCAGTAATACAACAAACTCTAAAGATCTCCTTGTATAGAAGGGAAACTGAATTTTCAGTGCTCCTGGCTCAACTGTTCCTCAAGTTTTCCTCTTTCATTCTTCTTTCGGTAATGTCCAGTTCTTTCTTCTCTTCACCATCCCAGTCCAGTGATGATGTCCTGAGGGCCAGTTTTTCCTCCAAACACTAGCACTTTCCTTCAGTAAAGTGAGACTGAGAGGCTGAGTGTCCTTGATCAAGGTTACATAAGCTCTATACCTACACGAACCCAGCCCTCTGGGATTTGTTCTATCCTATTCCCATGAGTTACAAGCCTGAAGGAACAACACTGGTCCAATTCTGAGTTGCATCCAAGCTGAACTTGGTGCAGTTTACAGGTGGAGGATTGTTGTAATTCCCACTTAACTGCCCGTGTCCCTAAGGCAGAGGATCCTAATCTGTGGGGCGTGCCCCTAGGATGGTGCAGGAGGACATGCCTGGGGCCACATGGGGGGTGGGAAGGGAGTGCCATCCAGCTCCACTCATGGCCCAGGGTCTTGGCTGCTGGCTCCGTGACCGAGGTCCTGGCCCCCAGCTGTGGCCCTGGCCTTGGCCCCCTTACCTGTGTCCACATCCCCCCCCCCTTCCCAGAGCTGTAGCCCTGCTCCCGGCTGTGGGGGTGGGTGGGGCATGGACAGGGGCCAGGGGGGCATGAGTTAAAACGTTTGGAGACCACTGCTCTAAGGCATCATTCTGGCAACCGGCAATACCAAAGCACAAAGGTCACACCCCCTTCACCAGGAGCTGAGAGAAATAGGGGGGCATAGAACTGCCATGCTGCTGCAGGGAGCTGGCTACCCTGGTTTTCTGGCTGCTTTGCACTTGTACAGCAGCACAAAGCTGCTGGAGCCATTGCGTTACACAATCACCTCCAGAACACTGGCAGCTGCTGCATCTTCATAGCTTCAGAAAACGGCATCCATCACAAGCTCACAGTAAAGACAAAAACAGTTTGATCAACTTCCCATTCTCTTGGTACATCATCCAATGTGCGTAAGAAAGCGCAGTCATGAAGACATGTCCACGGCTAAGGGTCTGTTTACACTGCAATTAAATACCCATGGCTGGCTCGTGTCAGGTAACCCGTGCTCATGGGGCTCAGACTAATGGGCTATTCTATTGCTGTGTAGACATTTGGGCTCAGGCTACAGCCCAAGCTCTGGGACCTTCCTGCCTCACAATGCCCCAGATCCCACGCTTGAATATCTGTGCCCTGTAACTTCAGTGCCCTCATGGCCAAGATGTAGTCTGCGCTGTAGGCAGCTCTGACCAAGAAAAGTCAGGCGCAGGAATGCAGCAGGGAAAGTCCCTTCCACCCCAGGGGCACCTGTTCCAACCCCCCCCCCCTCCAAGTGAACATACGCGTACACACACGCACCCCTCCCACCCCCCTGGAAGAGTACAATGAATATAGGAAAGGGAAATATTGATTTACAGAAGGATGAAAGGAGAAAAACAACGCGGGGGGAGAGGGGAAGAGATAAAGGGAGCGATAAAACAGGGTTACATTTAAACCAAGGCCCCACAGGCCCAGTGGTAGCACAGTCTGAAACTGCAGACTCCGAGCAATGCGTCTGCCCTTGGAGTTCAGGACTCCTGGGCGAAGTTCCAGTCCAGTGAGTCTTGGGGGCTCCTGGTTGTCTTCGGCGATAGAAAACTTTCCCCAACAAACCCCTCTGGTGCCCTCTTCTGCCGCTCTCTGCGAAGCCACACAGAGTGATAACCTCCCCACATGGCTAGCTACAGCCTTCCTCCTTATTCCCAATGCAAAGTCACAAGCCCAGATACTCATGGCCCATGTTCCCTTTAATTTTTTCCACCCATGTGTGGATTGAATTTTGTTATGTGCACCAATATCAAGGAAATGTGTGGATGTGCGCCACTGGTAGAAACAAAAAACCTAGATAGAATATGTTTTTAAGAAGTTACCATAGGGATAATTACTCCAGCCAGGACAGGTTAGGCATTTTAGAACTCACTCCTCAAAGAATTAAATTTAAGCATAAGAGAAGTAAAAATTATGAAATGCACAGACCAGTCAAAAAACTAAAATAGCACTTTGAAAGAATAAAATTAGAGAAAATATACGTGCATTGCAGGAAGTACCAAGTAACAACAACACTACAAGTACGTGTTGGGAGGTGAGTGTATGTGTGTGTGAGAGAGAGAGAGAGAGAGAGAGAGACAGAGACAGATGGACAGACAGAGACATGGACACACTGTGTGAGAGAGAGAGGGAGACAGAGATAGACAGACAGACATGCGTCTCTCCCCGGCTGCTGCAGCCCCAGACAGAGCTGGGGCCAGGGTAGAGAGGCATCTCCTGTCCCCGCCAGAGGCCGGGGAAGAGATGTGTCATTCCTGTCGCCACTACAGCCCTGGCTGGCACTGCGGCTGGGGCCGGGGAAGAGGCCCGTCTCTCCTGGGGGACACTTTAGGATCTTATGAATATCAAAATTGTAAAATTGCAATGAGTTGTGCCAGATATGCCGTGTAAGGTATCTACAAAAATGTCAGTTTGCCAAGTATGATAATCTTGTTTATATGTTTGTATCACCTTGGTATTATGAGTTATAGATATGTATGTCTGTCTGTCTGTATTTCAAACTTGTGCTATGCTTCTAGGTGACAGTAACACCCTCAGACAATTTGGCATCAGCACTGCCTAGCTCCTTAATGAGCCATCAAGCAGGCATCAATGAACCCACTGAAAATTGTACAATGAACCATTTGTACAATGAACCCATTGAAAAAGTCAAGGGCTACACCTTATGACTCAGGCAGGCATGCAGGGGCAGAACTCGAAGGCTTCCAGGCCACGTGCTGGGCAGCTTGTGTTTGGAACAAAGGGAAGCACAAGCACAAGCCACATGGCAAAAGACTATAAAAGGCAGCTGCATCTTCTCCATTTTGTCTTCAGTCCTCCTTCTTACCCCTGGAGTAACCAACCTTTGGATGTGTTCCAGAGAGACTTTCAAGCCAGCAAATTCACCAAGACTGCTAGGAACCGGATATATGGACTTTGAAGTCTTTGTATGTATGTGACTGTTTTACCATTTAACAACACTCTTCTTGTTCTTTTTTCTTTACAATAAACCTTTAATTTTAGACACTAAAGGATTGGCTGGCAGCATGGTATTTTGGGTAAGATCCAAACCTGTCCTGACCTGGTGATGTGGCTGACCCTTCGGGGTCAGAATAATACTTTGTATATGTGAGCAGAGTTTTTTAAATAACTTCTCACTGTACTGGACCTAGGTGCTGGTTGGGAGCCAGAGAACTGGAATGCAATAAGGGGGCTGTGTGATTTCTTTTTTGCTTCTTGATAACCAGGGGGGGGGGAAGGGGGAATTAGAAGCACAGTTTGTGACTGGCTGGGGAGTTTAACTTCAGTGTTACCCACCAGTCTTGGGAGTATCTGCTCTACCTTGTGCAGCCTGCCCTGTCCTTGGCATTTCCAGTGAGGGCTGCCCCAGGCACCCCAGGTCACACCTCCTGTCCCCGCTGCAGCCCTGAGGCTGGGGCAGAGAGGTGTCTCTCTTCTTACCCCCCCCAACCCCAACAGTCCTGCATGCCCCAAGCTCCCCCAAACCCCCATCAGCTCAAACCACTGCCCCCGCCCTCCACATTCTCCCCGCTCACCTGTGTGCATGCCTGCACGGCTGCTGAGCAGCCCTAGATGGGCCCTTAGAGGGAACACAGCTCACGGCAGCAGCGACACTGGGTCCAGTACAGTGAGAAGTTTGTCCTTCTCGGGCGATTCCTCCCTGGCACAGTGCTCCTCCTGGCTCCTGTCCTGGGTGTTCCTGATCGGCCACTCTGTGCCTTCCAAGCTTCGGGCGGGTTCTCAGCTGCTTCACTCTGTAAGGCCTAATTGCTGTAGCCCTTGGAGCTCCAGACACACACACCCTGTCGCTCTCCCTCTCATTGCTCCCTCCTGCCAAAACAGAACTTCCTCCTCCTCAGGACAAAGATTTAAAGGGGCCATGCTCTCTAAACCCCAAAGGTGATACAACCGCAATTAAACAGCCCTTTCGACAGAGCCCCATGAACCCGAGTCAGCTGATGTGGGCCAGCTGTAGGTTTTTAATTGCAGTGCAGACATACCCTAAGCAGTCCACAAGTGTCAGTAAATCATCTGCCTTACAGTATGAGCCAGCCTCGTTATATCTAGATGAAAACTTCATTACACAAGTTATAGGAATGAGGCCATATTCAGCAGGTGCTACACTGGATCGGATCTGAATTTACTAAGGGGTTTGCCAACAGTCTGCTAGGTGGTTTACAGACAAATATAACGATAATATGTCTGACCTGAGGAGCTTACAGTCTAAACAGGCAACATCCAAACAAAGGAAATTGAAGAGAACCAACACACACAACAGTGACTGAATAGTGAAGCTAGGCATCTATCTTGTAAGTTCCATGACTTTTGTATGAAGTTATTTTGCACAATTTTTTTTCAGTAAGTTAAAGGGGTGTGTGTGTGTGGTGGGGGGGGGGGGAGATGGAGGAGCAAACCCATGAAATTTAAGGGTATAGATCAATCAGCATAGAATTCTTGTAAGTGACTCTCGGGTGATTGCTAGAATAGGTTAATCATCGGTACACATGTACATTAAAAGTAATGGCAATTCAAACTTTTCTTAGGAGATAAAGAATTACCAATTCACTGCATCAGAGTAATCGGTTTCACTGCTAGGGTTTCTGTGATAGAAGAAATAGAATTTGGTTTTATATCGTGTTACCTCCTAAAACCTAGAGCAGAAAGCACCCTATAAAAAATTAGACTTGCCATTCACAGTGACAATACGGTACCATTTTGATAATCCTGGCAGATCTACCATACCATCATACTTACAGACCAGAAAATTGATTATTTTATCTGCACCTGTCATTGAAACAGGCATTTGCTTTCAGACCAATTGCAGAATACAACCTCTGAAGGACAAGTGGTTAAAATTGTATATATGACTTTATTAGTTTATAGCAGCTGTTTAGATGCTTATTGATTTTATGACTGCAACCATATATAAAAATAATTTCTATGACTTTATTAGCAAAATGTAAGATCAGATCAGGTTTACTGGGATACAACCTTCTATCTGGATTTCAGCTGGCCAGCCATTATATCTGTTCTTGCTATTGTCAGAATGGTTGATCTGGTTTAAAAAAAAAAAAAAAAATACAACCTTCAGTTTATCGTTTATAGGTAGTCATCACTAGTCGGGAAAACTTCCTGCCTCCCTGCGTAGCAAGAGGGAAAAGATATGGGAGCAGGGGCTTGGAAATCATCAAGTACACTTCACATTTTGCTGATCTTAAACTGGCACCTCCTCACCCCATTCTCTATTATATAATCGTTCCTCAGAATGTTATAACCCAAGCCCCTTATTGCCCAGAAGACCTCATAGTATAGGACAATGATGTTGAAGTATTTCCTGTAGGTAATTTGTTTCAGTAAGTAACATCCAACAACACTCTGGGAAAGATGTGAAACTAGGAATAATTCCAATAATCTTTGGCAAATAGAATAGTTAGAAAAATCTGTGGAAACTGAGCTGGGCCAAGCATATTTATTTCTTTCCCCTCCTTGCATCACAGAAAGATGATTGTACGAAACATTTAAATGAAAATACCACTGCTATAAGGAGAAGTTCTGATACAGAAATTATTCCTGTTAAATTTTCCTCAAGTCTGAGGAGGCCAAGATTTTCAAAAGTGACTTGCAATTTTGGGCATCTCCCTGCCTGAGTGTCCATCTTGAGACTCTTAAAGGGTCCTGATTTTCAGAAAATGCTGAGCACCTGCCCTCTGAAATTCTGACCTCCTTAAAGGTCTCTCAAAAGTTAGGCTTTCAAAAATTGACACACCCTAAATGACTAGTCACTTTTGGAAACTTGTTTCCAGAAAGAAATCACAAACACAAGGTTGTGAAGGGTTTGTGAAAATTATAGTTTTAAAAAACAAAACAGAAAACAAAATAAACCCTACCTTTTCTTTTTGAATGTCATCTGGTAGGTTGAAACCTTTGGCAGCTATAAAGGCCCAGCTTGACCTGAACTTCATGTTCCATATTTCTTTACTGCCAAGCTCTGCTATTGCTTTTTTTGCACCATCGTTTAGTCTAGTAGAAGAGTTGAAAAATTTAACATTGGAGACTTTGAAATTCAGAACTTTAAAAATAAGTTACGTAAAAAAGGATATAGTCTGTTGATATTTTATGTGTAATTTCTGATTTCTTATTAATGAATAATTTTTAAAGCCTTCCTGTATCTTCTACTGGAGAACTGTCTAGTAATGTGCCATAAAATTAATGGAACCAAATTCTACCCCCACTTATACCTGTGCAACTCCACCGATGTTAATAAAAGACAATGAGTTTGCACAAGGGAGCAGAAAGAAGAATTCTATGTTATGAGGGATTCTCTCTCTTTTGTACATTTTATTGTTGGAACAAATTTCATGTAATCTCAGTGTCTGAGAGGTACAGGCTGTGTTATATACGGGCAAGTGTTGAATGGAACAGCATCAAATGACTGAGAGAAGGAGGTAAGTGATTAAACCTGGTCATAGCTCAAGCTGTAACAACTTTTGCTTCTCAGAAGGTTGCAACCCTGAGTTCATAGAATCATAGAATATCAGGGTTGGAAGGGACCTCAGGAGGTCATCTAGTCCAACCGCCTGCTCAAAGCAGGACCAACACCAACTAAATCATCCCAGCCAGGGCTTTGTCAAGCCTGACCTTAAAAACCTCTAAGGAAGGAGATTCCACCATCTCCCTAGGTAACCCATTCCAGTGCTTCACCACCCTCCTAGTGAAATGGTTTTTCCTAATATCCAACCTAAACCTCCCCCACTGCAACTTGAGACCATTACTCCTTGTTCTGTCAGCTGCCACCTCTAAGAACAGTCTAGCTCCATCCTCTTTGGAACCCTCTTTCAGGTAGTTGAAAGCAGCTACCAAATTCCCCCCTCATTCTTCTCTTCTGCAGACCAAACAATCCCAGTTTCCTCAGCCGCTCCTCATAAGTCATGTGCCCCAGCCCCCTAATCATTTTTGTTGCCCTCCGCTGGACTCTTTCCAATTTTTCCACATCCTTCTTGTAGTGTGGGGCCCAAAACTGGACACAGTACTCCAGATGAGGCCTCACCAATGCCGAACAGAAGGGAACAATCACGTCCCTCGATCTGCTGGCAATGCTCCTACTTATACAGCCCAAAATGACGTTCGCCTTCTTGGCAACAAGGGCACACTGTTGACTCATATCCAGCTTCTCGTCCACTGTAACCCCTAGGTCCTTTTCTGCAGAACTGCTTCCTAGACATTCAGTCCCTAGTCTGTAGCAGTGCACGGGATTCTTCCGTCCTAAGTGCAGGACTCTGCACTTGTCCTTGTTGAACCTCATCAGATTTCTTTTGGCCCAATCCTTTAATTTGTCTAGGTCCCTCTGTATCCTATTCCTACCCTCCAGCATATCTACCACTCTTCCCAGTTTAGGGTCATCTGCAAACCTGCTGAGGGTGCAATCCACGCCATCCTCCAGATCATTAATGTAGATATTGAACAAAACCGGCCCCAGGACCGACTCTTGGGGCACTCCGCTTGATACTGGCTGCCAACTAGACATGGAGCGATTGATCACTACCAGTTTAGCCTGATGATCTAGCCAGCTTTCTATCCACCTTATAGTCCGTTCATCCAGCCCATACTTCTTTAACTTGCTGGCAAGAATACTGCGAGAGACCATATCAAAAGCTTTGCTAAAGTCAAGGAATAACACGTCCACTGCTTTCCCCTCATCCACAGAGCGTTCTCTCATCATAGAAGGCAATTAGGTTAGTCAGGCATGACTTGCTCTTGGTGAATTCATGCTGACTGTTCCTGATCACTTTCCTCTCCTCGAAGAGTTGTAAGCCATTTATTATTCTAGCACTGGGCTGGTACACAAATGCTTGCTTACCTGCTGCTTCCATCATCATGGGTCACCATCAAGAGAAGTGACCCTTGAGGTGCATTTTTAATGAAAGTCGTCATGGGTCCCGAGAAGTCTGTTGATACAACAAATGATTATTCATTACCCCCATGCCGATGCACAAAACACCATATACTCATCTTATTGCTACTTTGCAGCTTTGCCTCTCCAAAAAAACAGAAGTAAGTTACTTATTTTTCTCTAGCCAGATAATTTCCCCATTCCCATGCAGAGGACCCAATCCTGAAAGGTACTAACTGCGTTCAACTCCCACAGAAGACTGTGAGGGTACAGAATGATCAGCACCTCTCAGGAGCTCTGGAATAAGTAGGAAGAGACAGATTAGACTCAGACTAAGGTCAGAAGGGACCATCATGATCACCTAGTCTGATCGCCTACAGTATAGCAATTTAGAAATAAAATAAAGGCCTGACGCAATTTAGTTTTTTTCTTTAGTATTAAACTGTGAAGTACTCCAGATGAGCAGAGATAAATCTGTTTTGCCATCTGTTTTATATTAATTACTGATCATTCTTGGAGATCTTTAGCAACTGTCAAATATTTAATTGAAAAAAAAGATACTTTTAGTCCAAATTTCTTCTGTATGGAAAAAAGTGTCTACAAGAGACCCTCTGCTACTTTTATTTGGTGATACTTTGGCTCTTACCTCCTTCCCACATGTCAAAAAACTCTGTAGATATAACTTTTCCTGTTTTATCTGCAATAAAGAAATAGTACACTTTAAATACGGGGAAGGAAAGGGATATGTAAGGGGAAAGTAAACAATGGTTATTACTAAAAATAAAAACAATAAATTTTAAAACTTATTTAAAATAAATCTGTTAGTCTTTAAGGTGCCACCGGACTCCTCATTGTTTTTGTGGATACAGACTAACACAGCTACCCCTCTGATAACCACAAATAAGTGCATGTAGTATTTTATCTTATTACGGTTTCAAGTTTTCATTAGTGCCAGATTTCCTTCCAAGTTCCGACAATTAATCGTGTGTGTGTGTGTGTGTGTGTGTGTGTGTGTTATCCTTGACAGCATTAATTCCTGCCCACCAATGGTACACAGAAGTGATCAATTACAGCTATCGTGCAACTGAACTCCACCAAAACTGTAGCATGACAGAAAAGATTTCTGCCCAGATTCTTTCAAATAACGGAATTGGCTTTACTTTTTTACTTTATGTTTAAAAGAATGAGTGAATTGTATTATGAACTTTGGTACTTGCATATACACTTTATACTAGTTCCTAACAACGGCTAAGGTTTTCAAATGGCTGTTGATTTTGGAGGCCCGAATTGAGACAATTTCAATAGCCCTAATTTTCAATGGACAGGTGCTCAGCACTTTCTGAAAAATCTGGCCTCTTTCTAGTGGCTCAAGTTAGGCTCCCAGACACACTAGTCATTTTAGCAAATCTTGGTCAATAATCACAATTAATTTCATTGTTGTTCAAATGGGCCTATTTTTGAATTCATGAAACAGATGTAAAACTGGAGGTAATTCTCAAGATTTCAAAATTCTTTGACAAATTCATGGAACATCTTTTTTTGCTAGTAGGAAAACTGCAAAACCAGTAACCAATTTTCATGTTACGCTTTCAAATGCCAAACTGAGTCAGGCATTTATCAGTTACATAAGACACACACGTCCAGGTAGAGGAGGATGCTTTCCTCTGGAGCACTGTATGCTGCCACTCAGTGGGAAGATTTGGCAATTGCTGCCCTCTTTCCGGCTCATCTTGGCTCTCATCCTTGGCAGAATCATAGCGGAGGGGGAAGTATCTTAAAAGCACAGGACTCTGTAAAAGTTTATTCTCCACAATTCAGGAGGCAGAGTCCAGAAGTGGAGAAATAACATTCCAGACCTGGGCCTCTCCTGAGCAGAGACCAGAGATCACACCAAACTGAGGATGCTGGATTTTACTGTGCTTGTATGTGGAATATTGCTTTTTTCTCTGTGTTGTTAATCTTGGTTTATAATTTTCTCTTCCTTAACAACAAAAACTGTTCATTCAGAACAGAAAGGGGACAGCAATGTGAATTAACATATTAAAGTGATGCTACAAAAAAAAGTGTTGGAGAGGTTTAATTAATTAGAAAATATGCAGAGGATGTTTTACTGTATTGAAATGTTAGACATGTCCACTTTTCTATCTGAACCTGTGGATAAAAGAAGCAAGATAATTAAGGAGTACATGTGAATATTTGTTTAGCCAGAAACTACCTCTCAGCGGAAGGATGGAAGATATTCTATTCTGCAATATTTTCACAGATTTTAAGGCCCGAAAGGACCACTGTGATTATCTGGTCTGACCTCCTGCATAACACAGGCCAGAGAACCCCACTAAATAATTTCAACATCAAATCCATAATGTCTGTTTAAGTTGTAGCAGATCCTTCAGAAAGAGATTTAGTTTTGATGTAAAGACTTCAAGAGAATTCACTATATTAGTAAGTAAATTGCTCCAATGGTTAATTACCTTCACAGTTTAAAATCTGCACAGTATTTCTAGTCTGAATTTGTCTAGTTTCCAATCACTGGATCGTGTTATGCCTTCTTCTGCTAGATTAAACAGCTGTCTCTTCCCCATGAGGTACTTGAAGACCACAGTGAAGTCACCTCTTTTCTTGGATAAACTAATTAGGTTCAGCTTCTGTAGTCTCTCATTATTAAAGGTTTGCTGCTCTCAAATCATTCATGTTGCTCTTTTCTGAACCCTTTCCATTTTCTTCAACATTTTCTTTAAGTGTAGACCCCAGAGCTAGACACAATATTCCAGTAATGGTCTCACTAATGCCACGTACAGAGGTAATAGCACCTCCCTACTCCTACTTGATATTCCTTACTTATACCTTCAAGGATCATGATCACCCTCTTAACTACAGTCTCACACGAAGAACTCATGTTCAGTTTCAGGGGGTAGCCGTTTTAGTCTGTATCTACAAAAACAACAAGGAGTCTGGTGGCACCTTAAAGACTAACAGATTTATTTGGGCATAAGTTTTCCTGAGTAAAAACCTCACTTCTTCGGATGCATAGAGTGAAAGTTACAGATGCAGGCATTATACACTGACACATGGAGAGCAGGGAGTTACTTCGCAAGTGGAGAACCAGTGTTGACAGGGCCAATTCAATCAGGGTGGATGTAGTCCACTCCCAATAATAGATGAGGAGGTGTCAATTCCAGGAGAGGAAAAGCTGCTTCTGTAATGAGCCATTAATCTGGGCTTGAATAGGGACTGGGAGTGGCTGGCTTTTTGTTCTGTTTATGCATCCATTTACCTTCCAAGTGAGTAAGCTAAAAACTTTTTTTTTTTTTTTTAATACTGCAACATTTTTGGGTTAAAGTAAACACCACATTGAGCTTGTTTTCCAGACTCAGGACTCTTATTCCTCACAGGAGGGGCTACTATTAAATATATTGCACCTCATCCTAGTTATTAGAGAACTAAGAAATTTCTTTTATGTGACATGCAAAGTAATTCTACTCTCTCCAATTTAAAATCCAGGGCCACTTGGACAACTTTTCATGGTTATCCATTCTCATCCACTGAAAATTTAACAAGCTTTTTTGTTTGTTTGTTTGTTTTTGTTTCCCCACTGTTCTAAGATTTTTTTCTTCAAGTGCTTCTTTTTATTGTTGTTAAAGCTGAGATGAATTTGAATCGGATAAAACTAGAAAGTTACCAGCTGCTGCTGTTTAAGGAAACAGAACTCCTCTAAGGCAGTGAAAGATGTGAATGTGGCAGTCTCTGTACTACTGCCACAGAGAAGGCTGTGGTTTTCAGTCATTCATACATTGCAAGGCCACACTAAAAGTGACTAGGAGTGACAGATAATTATTGTGCTTCGTTACTCTACTTTCATAAGCATCCAATAGAGAGGAAATGGTAGTTTAAAAAATATAGAAGGAAGACTGTTAGACTGCATCTCAGACATGCAAAATCATTTTTCTTAGTGTACTACCATTGTCCCCATAACATTCTTTTCTTACTTACAATTCACGATGGCAATGTTTATACCTCTTCCAACATTACCCTTCTGTTCACTTATGAGCCTGAAATTGAAATAAATACATCATCAGTCAGGAATTGTACTTCCAGAAGGGCTGTGATATTTACCTATGCAAAGTCATTCCTGGTATTCTTGTTTTTAGGTTAGTCGTTTAACTGAGGAGTCTGCTGAAAGTAATGGAGCCATGTCTTAAAAATCTATGGCACATTGGACAGTTTCCTCCAGAGAGCCCATAATGAGTCTAGTTCAACACTGTAGCCTGTACAAGTGCAGCACAAGCAGAGTAAAAACAATGCCAGAGAAAATCATTAGTTTTGCAGCATCATTCCATGCAGATTTATAGAATAGGCCAGTGTATCTTCACAACAGCTCTACACCAAGATTTTCAAAAGTGACTATTGATTTTAAGGGCCTCAGTTTTTGAGTCCCTAACTTGATATACTGTAAAGAGGCCTGATTTTCAGAATGCACTGAGCATCCAACCTCTGAAAATTAGGCCCTTTTACAGTGTTTCAAGCTGTGCATCTGAAACCTGAGGCACCCACAATCATTAATCACTTTTGAAAATCTTGGCCCAAAGCAGTGTATATGGACAAAAAAGAGAAAAGCCACGATGCAAGGTTAAAAAAAAAAGTTAGAGATAGAACAGAAAGACTACTTTAGTGACACAAGCACAGAGAAAACCAAATGACAAAGTAGACTAACAGGAAAAAATCTAAAGTGTCAAAGAAACAGAAGTATACTTTCAGAATACATACAGCGAGGGAGATTGGAAAGATGCCATGGAACAGAGAAAATTAGGTGGGGTTTAGTGTTGGTAATGGGCTAAAAAAAAGGGTGGGGTTATTCTCTACACAGATGGAACAGAATTATTCAGGGTTTAAAGTTATAAGAGATCCAAGAGTTGACACAATGAAGCCACTCATGTAGTCAGAAGAGAGAGAAATCAAAATGTCAGGGGTGTGTCAGCTGCACAGAAAGAAGGACACCGAGTCAAATTTTTGCCTCAATAAAGTCAGTGAAAATTTTGGCACTGACTTCAATGAAAACAGCATTTTGACACAATGATGAGAAAGCAATGAGCTATCCAAAGGGAGAAAACACATGGATCAGAGGTAACAAAATTGATGAGGATTTAAAAAAAGTTTAGAATCATTAAATTAAAAATCACAACATCTAAATGAATCCCACCTCTGGATTTCCAAGCATGCCTCATTTGCTGTGTGACTGTCCTAGAATCACACCTATACTTTACAGAGGAGGTGGTTTCTTGCTTGAGGGACTTCAGGAGCATAGCATGGTAAATAGTATTGAAAGGGGAAAACCCCAAGACTGGTGGTTTTGTGTTACAAAGTTTGCATTAATCCAAGAAATGTCTCTTAATAATAAATGTTTAGTCTGTTGCTAAACCAAAATGTCCCTATTACTCCAGGCAGTCCTTGCTTCGACTCAAAGTAGACTGGTACTTACAGCTCATCTTCAAAACAAATCTTGGCAAACTTTTCCTTGCCACCACCACTGAGTAATCGATAAGCATAGCTCCCAGGTGAGCACGGAGACCAATGGTCACATTTCTGTCTTTTGGGGGGTGGCGCTGTAGTGAATAAGAAAACAGAACATGCTTTGTTTGAGCACTATGTAAACACCATTCATATACCAAAATGACCACTTAATTAAACACTGCAGATTTATATGAGCTTGAAATTGGCACCTGCTTGCCAAATGAGGGTAGAGAGGAAAGAGGAATTTGATTGGGGTGAATGGGTCCCAGCAGTCCTCTGAGATGATCTTTCGACCAGTGTTCTAGAATACTACAAGCTTAGACAACTGCTCAGACAAACAAGTTTGGTTACAATTTGCAGGAGATAATGTTGCTCGTTTCTTGCTTACAATGTCACCTGAAAGGGAGAACAGGCATTCGCATGGCACTTTTGTAGCCAGTGTCGCAAGGTATTTATGTGCCAGATGCGCTGAAGATTCATATGTCCCTTCGTGCTCCAACCACCATTCCAGGGAATATGCGTCCATGCTCATGATGGGTTCTGCTTAATAACGATCCAAAGCAGTGCGGACTAACACATGTTCATTTTCATCATCTGAGTCAGATGCCACCAGTAAAAGGTGGATTTTCTTTTTTGGTGGTTCACATTCTGCAGTTTCTGCATCAAAGTGTTGCTCTTTTAAGACTTCTCAAAGCATGCTCCACACCTTGTTCCTCTCAGATTTTGGAAGGCACTTCGGATTCTTAAACCTTGAGTCAAGTGCCATACCTGCTTTGCGTTTTGTCAAATCTGCAGTGAAAGTGTTCTTAAAATGAACATCATGTGCTGGGTCATCATCCAAGACTGCTCTAACATGAAATATGTGACAGAATGCAGGTAAAACAGAGCAGGAGACATAATTCTCCCCCCAAGAAGTTCAGTCACAAATATAATCAACACATTATTTTTAACGAGCATCTTCAGCATGGAAGCTTGTCCTCTGGAATGGTGGCCAAAGCATGAAGGGGAATTCGAACGTTTAGCATATCTGATGCGTAAATACCTTGTAATGCCGGCTACAAAAGTGCCATGTGAACTCCTGTTCTCACTTTCAAGTGACACTGTAAATAAGAAGCGGGCAGCATTATCTCCTATAAATGTAAACAAACTTTTTTATCTTAGTGATTGGCTGAACAAGAAGTAGGACTGAGTACACTTGTAGGCTCTAAAGTTTTACATTGTTTTGTTTTTGAATGCAGTTATGTAACATTTGTAAGTTCCACTTTCACAATAAAGAGATTGCACTACAATACTTGTCTGAGGTGAATTGAAAATTATTTTTTATCATTTTTCCAGTGAAAATATTTGTAATAAAAATAATATAAAGTGAGCACTGTACACTTTGTATTCTGTGTTGTAACTGAAATAAATATATTTGAAAATGTAGAAAACATCCAAAAATATTTAATACATTTCTAGTGTTTAAGAGTGCAATTAAAACTGATTAATCGCAACTGATTTTTTTAATCGCAGGTTTTTTTGAGTTAATCGTGTGAGTTAACTGTGATTAATCGACAGCCCTCTTAGGAGAGCAACACATAACCAATTATTCAGTAACTAACAACCCATTTGCAGGTTAAATTACAAACACTGTGCTTCACTTATAATATACTGCATATTAGTAGAAAAAAAAGTCATGTACCACATACCCTTAAGTACTGGTTTCTCTCCAATACTCTGAAGATTTTCGATAGCTGATGATAGCGAATCTTCAGGTACGATATCTGCAAACAGGTATCCCAAATACCAAGCACACACTGATGCTAACATAAGTCCTGATAACTTCACAAGGTCTGATAAGAAACAACAAATCCATTATTTAATGCGAAAAAAGACAGCATGTGATAAGAAGTCTACACAGGGCTACTAAAAATAGAGTATCTTCTATGGTGCTGCTACACAAACACAGTACTTTGAGAGCATGAAATTCAGTCCTGATGCACAGGCATTCCACACCACTGGAGATCTTCGGTGGGGCTGCAGACAGAGTGAGTGCGGCAGTCAACAATGACAACCCCTTCCACCGCTAAAAAAAAAAGTCTTAAAACACAACTAACAGCAAAAAAACCCATTCTATCCCCAAGCAGAGGTTTGACCCTGGAAAAGGAGACATGCCAGAGATTCCATGAAATCATCTAGAGACTTAGCTATTGTTATCCATTTTAGATTGGCGGCACCCAGATGCTATGGTGATAGGTGGCAGTTTAAACCCTACCCTACAGATAGCTCACAGCGGGCTCTTAGTCTCCTCCTGTATTTCAAAGAGGATACGAAGCTAGGCCTGAATAGGCAGATATGTAAATGGAGTTGGGGTTCAGAGTGAGGGTGGAGTTGTGAAATCTAGATTTGCACACATCTGGAGGCCCAGAAGCCTGCAGAGAGATGTGGAGTGACAGCAGCCACTAGTCGAGCCACTCTCAATTATATTATAATTTCCACCACTATTGTAGAAGCTATAGTAGTGTCTATATAGGCAAGGAGACAGGTGTGTATTTGCTATGTTTTACCAGACACTTGGTTACCACCCCTTCTCCAGAAATAAAAATGTATACCTGGACCTGGAGAAAAGTGTCATACCCCCTTCCCCCATGTTAATAAAATATCACATTTCTATTGCATCTTTCACCCCAAAATGACCCAAGCGCTTCACATTGTGAGTATGTACACTGTGTTCATTAAGAAACTACTTTGACCATCAATGAAATGCAGCCTTTTTGGGGGGCTGGAAGATGGGGAAGGGCCAGGGAAAACATGGGAGCTTTTTTACAATATTCAGCAGTTCAGACAAGAAAATCAGGCCTGAACATCAAATTTGGAGATTCGTCTGTTTATTTTTAAGTTTCCTTTCCCAGGAATAAATATGGGATATATGGATAGTTCCCAAATCAAATTCCTGAGCAAGAAGTTCACAAATTCCCTGTGCTTTAGCACAATCCCAGCAAGCTAGGTCCTGTCTATACTGGAGTGGTAGGTGGGCTGAGTTTAAAATGATGCAAGTTAAAACAGCATTTAAATAAATCATGTTAAAACATTAGCACTAGGGCTGTACAGGAACCAACATTTCTGTTTCACATCAAATTCTGAAATGCTGAATTTTTTTCATGCTAATTTGCTACGTGGTGTGACAAAGCTCCGACCTTGTCTCCGTGGGTCCAGCGCTTTCAGGCGGATTACGCTAGCCTCAGAGGCTCACTGTGTCCCTCCACGTAGCCCTTCTCTCTCTAGGGGCAAGGGTCACAGCCTACTGAGCCATTTTCATCATAAGCCAGCAAGGGAGGTGAGGAGACGCTACCCTCCCTTGCATAGTCTCTGTTGTCTCACAGTATTAATTGAGGAAAGGGGGGGGAGGGAGCCCAGGCCCGCACTCTACTCTGGGCTCCAGCCCAGGGACCCTAATAGTAGCAGCTATTTGTAGCTGACTTTTTGAAACAGGATGAGTACAATTCCCTGGGCCACTTCCCCACAGCAGCCCCCACTTCTTCAACAGGGATAGCTCAGTGGTTTGAGCATTGGCCTGCCAAACCCAGGGTTGTGAGTTCAAACCCTGAAGGGGCCATTTAGGGATCTGGGGCAAAAATCTGTCTGGGGATTGGTCCTGCTTTGAGCAGGGGGTTGGACTAGATGACCTCCTGAGGTCCCTTCCAACCCTGATATTCTATGATACTTCACCCTTACCTCAGGGCATCCTTCCTTGTGCCTGATGGGTTTTTCCCGCCCAGTTTCTCAGGCAGCACGGCTTCCTCCTACAGCTCCTGACACACGCCACTAACTGGGAGGCTTTTAACTAGTTCCAGCCAGCCCTTAATTGGCTTCATTTGTCCCAATCAACCTAGCTGTCTCCACTGCTTTCTAGGAGGCTCTTAATTGGCCCCAGGTGTCTTGATTAACCCGGAGCAACTGCCATTTGGTTACCATGGTAACAGGGATTTGTTTAGCCTGTGGCTAACATACCTGTTTCACTCTACTTTCCTATAGTCATCTGGCCTTGCCCCGTCACAGTGGAAATTTCTAAATTTCCCGCAAAATGGAATTTGTAAAAAAAAAAAAAAATCAATTTCAGGCCAGGTGAAACATTACACTTCAATAAAATCAAAATATTTTGTATCCATTTTGACTTTTTTCGACTTTTTATATTATAATTTAGAATGTAAAATAAAAATTGGAGAAAAAGTCATTTCAAAATGGAAAATTGAAACGTCCCAGTTCACAGAAGTCAAAACAGAACATTTTGACCATAACAGAATGCTTCATTTTGATTTTTTTTAAAAATGAAATTTCATCAATGCTGACACATTGCTGAGAGTTTAGATTGCAACAAAATGACATTTCTGATGGAAAAAGATTTTGACCAGCTCTAATTAGTATCCAATTTATACAGGTTTTTAACAACTAAGTTAAGCTGCTCATGGTCTATGCTAGAGATGGAGGTAATTAGATATTGAAAAAGAGCTAGTTGAAAACAGGATGTAATTTTTGCAAAATATGTCAAAAATTACATTTCCAATAAAAAATTGTATTGAAAAATTGAGTCAAGTCTTGGTACATTTTGGCTAGCTGTATTTAGCATTCACTGATTGCTAAACCCTAGCTTATGATTTATCTGATTCAACATGTCTGAAGTTGAAGGGAGTGATAGAAAAACAAACAATTGAATGGAGTTAAGTAATGACAACAGAGGATTCTTCTGAAGTAAAATGTGAACAATGTCAAGAGTTGCTAAGCAGCAAGCTAGACAGGATTCATGGTCACCCTAAAAAAAGTGCAGAACCTCAGTTTCTTTCACCTTTTGCAGATCAAATGTGACACTGAATATAATTGTAAAAGTGAAAGAGCAGAACTTTGATGAGTTTGGTGATCATGTGAGAGATTGTCATGATCATATAAATATCCACGCTGGTCTGTTAAGAACCTTGTTCCAGGCTTATTTAGCTTTTTAACATTAGCTTAATTCAAGAGAAGTCTTTTGTTCATTTTCAGCATCCAAAGAAAGGCAAAGGTCAATCAGTGTTTATGCCATTTAAAACAAATCTGAAAAGCAAAATTTTCCACTTGATTAAAAAAAAACAACAACAACAACAACAACCTTACAACCTTCCTTTACACATTACCGTAAATGAAGTACAAAATAAGCATTTTAAAGAAATAATTGATGCACTTAGCCTTGGGTATACTCCTCCAGACAAATTTCAACCGACAAACCCACTCTTCGTGATTGTCTCCACTGAAAAATTAACTCAAGTTTTCTATGCTTGAGTATTCCTCTTGAGCTAGCCTAGCCCTAGTGAGAGCAGCCACACACCAAAGTAACACGTAACACTTGAGCTGATTTGTCCACACAGGTACAGCACTCACTCGTGTGGCATTACACTTTTGTCTTCACTAACACAAAGGTGATGGTGGGGTTTTTTTGTTTGTTTAAAGCTAGATAACAGTTATATTTTTACAGTTATCCCACTGTAAAATCCTAAATACAGACAAAGCACTTATATTGTTTATCGCAAGATACCTTGGATGGGGCCAGTACTATATTCCTGTCTGTAGCTGACGTCACCTAGTTTACTTTTCAATAAAAGTAGTGCCTTATCTCCACTAGGATTTTACAGCAGTATAGCTAACATATTTGTTAATTATCCTGTGGTAAAAACACACCATTTTTGTCAGTAACGACATAGCCTAAGACTTCTGGGGGCATATCACAGGGTTTTTAGTGTTGCAGTTAGCAGACTTGCTCCATGAATTCTTTCCCAGTGAATTGTGGGAGGACTTTTCTATATTTCCTGGGCACCTCGGAGGAATTGTGGAAAAGTGCTGGAGGACTAGCAGCATTTGAAGGGAGATAACAAGACCACTCTCTAGCGTGGACACAAGTTAGCAGCTGATGAGTTGTGCTAACTCAAGCGTTAGCCTATACCCCTCAACGGGACAGCCAACAAGGGTTAAAAGCACCACCACATTCAAGTTCAGAGTTTGTGTGGATGTGGGACTCAAGTTAGACACAACACTCAAGTTCTATGTTGAGTTAACTTTGCAGTGAAGACAAGTCCAAAGTGTGTCCACATTCACTCAAGTTAGCCTAGCTCAAGAGACGCAACTTTAAATAACTCAAGTTAAGGCTATGTCTTCACAACAGTTAAGTACTCCAATGGAAATAGAGGAAATAGAAGAACTAAAAGGATCAGCGTTGACATTAAGGAAAGATGATGAAACATGAAAAATGACCCTACAAGAGCTATAAGCAGCCATACTTAGAAAACTGCACTCCTAATTAATGCTACTGAGTTTATTTCTAAATAGAAAAAAGGAGAATATTGTGTCCAAGTTGCTGAAGAGACCAGCCAAGAATACAAAGAGAAATATCCCGAGGAAGTCTTTGCCATTGGCTCTGGCAATAAAAGTAAAATGAAAAAGATGAGTGAATGTCTCAGGTGGATTCATCCTTAGCTTCTGATATATGAGTGTTCACCACAGTATTTGAACCTCATTGAGGAAGAAGGAAAATCTAAACAGTTCTAAAATGCATTCAGATGTTCTTCTGTAACCACCATCAGATTCATTTTTGTTGAAAAAAGGGAACTTAATGTTCCCAGTTTCTCCAAGACATTTGGTAGAATTCTCAAAAAGTTTTTCTCTCTCCACAGCCACATCCAGCGACCATAAATAATGTTGAAATTTGCATATAGATATTATGATAAGGCCTTCGATTAAAAAAAAAAAAAAAAAAAGAGAACACATTTC